AAAATATTTTTGACTTTATAATTGTTGGGTCAGCAAAATTTTTGCCAGGAAAAACATTTCTCTTCGGTGCCATCCCCCGACATAAATATTGACCCCTCCCTTAGTAGTTACAATAATTCGAAGATTAAATGGCATTCTTTGTTTTGCTTTTGCCCGTGGTCAGGGACGCCGGAACGATGTGAAGGCAATTAAGGGGGGAAGATTTTCGTGAAAGGGCACTTTTGATATATACTAAATGATGTTTGCAAAACATCGGGAATTGGACTTCGCCCAATCATGTTTTCTATTTATTAGATGATAGGGGTGTGAGGGTGTTAATTTCTCCGCCAGGCGATTGTGCTATTCGTGAAGCTCAATGACTGAATTTCTTGCGTTTTCTGAAGCAAATTCGTAAAAGAATTGCACTAACATTTCTGACAATTCGTTATTTCACTAAGGCAATCCTTTAAATTGAAAGGGCACCTTTACACCCCCTTGCCCCTCCTGGTAAAGGGCAACGGGGGCGGCTGCCCCTCCTGCCCCCCCCCCCCCAGTTCCGGCGTCCCTGCCCTTGGTTATGTTATGTGATATAATTCTATAATTATATGAGCATCAATATTAATGAACAGTTGTATTTGTTGCGTGGCAGATGAGGATTATATAATGAATACAGGGTGTCCCAAAAAGTCCCAAAACTATTGAAATAAGTTCAAATAACGTATTGTTAAAATTTGAATGCCTCAGCACTCTGCTGAACCCACAATAAATTTTATGTATAAAGAAACTGTTTAAGAAGCTGCTTTAAATTCCCAAGAACAGAAAATCGTGCGCTTCACAAAGATATTTTAGTTTCCTAATAAGTCAATATTTAATATATGCACCCTTGTCAATCAGTTTACGCATCTTTGCGTTCAGCTTAGTGCTAGGTGTAGGGCATTGTAGGGCATTCAAATTCTAACAAACGTTATTTCAATAGTTTTGGGGGTTTGGAGGGACACCCTGTATATAATATATATGATCCTGTAAAGCAGTTTAAAGTTAAACTTAAAAATTATCGAGAAAATAAAAAACAAGTGCCCTGCATAAATTAATCCAGGCAAAAACAGTGAAAAACAAACAACCAGTGGCAGTGTTGTAACGAGTCGAGTCATTGAGAGTCGCTATTTTCAGCGACTCAAGTCCAATACGAAAAATGACTCGACTCGAGTCAACAGAACCAAATGACTCGACTCGGACTTGACTTGCTGATTTTTCCATAAACTGACTCGAGTCAACTCAGCTACAACTTGTACAGAGTAAATTCATCAGAATTATTGTGATTGTATTGCTTGGGAAGAACAATGAGCCCTGTGAACAATGAGAACTTAGAAACTTTATCAGAAAATATATGGGATTTGCATAGAATATATTCCTGACTGGCATGCCTATATTACATTTCTGTTTTTAGAAACAACGCTAGTGCCACAGTTTTTAAAACGGAGTCTCAAAATTTTTTGTACTTATACTAATTCTGACCGGCTATTTTCATTTTTGGTATTTATGAAGAGCTATATAATTTCAAATTAACTTACAAAGCGTGACTCGACTCGATCAGAAACTGAAATGACTCGACTCGACTCGTGACTCGACCTTTGAGTGACTCGACTCGACTCGTGACTCGACCTGTAGGTGACTTGTTACACCACTGCAAACAACTGTATGAATGAGCCATATAACTTCATATTTAATAGCAGTTAATAATTATCTCAATCTATTGACTATTCGTGAATTATTTGCTGAATAAGATCCCTAAAACTCTATCGATTGTAAATGTATAGACAGAGTACCAGAAAAGCCGTTAACATTTTAGTACGTTATCCAAATTACAATGATGAAGCCAAATATTTTTTTACTTAATTTATATTTATAAACTGAACATTAACTCTGCATATCACTGACAATAATAGTCAAGATGCTCTTTCTTCCACTCTATATCACGGTAGTCCACGGTAACCAAGAACATTAGAACTAGTTGTTTAATTAAAAGAAGCAGATAATGTAAACACGCTCAGTCGGCTCAGAGAACGGATCTACCAACTTTCACATTGCTAGCTGTCATTAGGGACGGACCATTTGATTTTTCATGGGGGAGGGGCGCAAATCCGAAAAAAAATATCGAGCATGTCTCGAATGGAAGAAAAAAAAATCGAACATCACTAACACCAGCAAAAAAAAATATCGAGCACAAAAAAATTCTAAATTAGCAATACTCTATATTGAAAGAAAAATTCAGTTTCCCTTAGTTTTTTTTCTGTTGAGTGTTTCTGTTCTGCCTTGGTTAACAATACCGGAAGTATACATGCAAAATACAAACCGATTACCGATACAAACCAGTTCTGACAACTTTGACTTCAATAATTCAATTATCCACAAATTACCTTAATGGTATCCCTAAAAACCCCAATCTTAACACTGAAAGTCCCACACTTCTGTAAATTCGACATCGATTAATGAGGGTGGGAAAGGGGGGGGGGGGTATGATTCACGTTTCACAACAAAAATTACCGTTTCACAATTCACGTGCCATAAAAAAGCAATTTCACATTTCACGGATAACGAGACTCTAATAAAAATAATATAATAAAAATAGCTTTAAGATTATGTTTAATGCATGGTACAGTACTACGCTTTAAGTTCTCTTCTCTGCCTGGCAGTTAAAAACTACTTACAAGTTTGAGTGATGAGTACGTCCGACGATCTCCGAAAGGCCTCCGAAGTTTCTACTCTTGTGCAATCGAGTGAGATAGATCATATAAATTATTATCGCGTATTATGTCCATTATCACTATTATAAAATAGATCGGAATAAACAAATCAAAATCACAGTTCACGAAACAGACATCCTTAATTCCCATTTCACGGAGCATTTTTTGATCGACAATCACGCCTCACGGCTGTAGAACAAATCACAGATCATGACAGTAAAATCAAGCATTTCATACGATCAAATATTGACCATTCACGCAGTGGCGTAGACAAGGGGGGTGAGCCCCCCCCCCCAAATAGGCTGATGGACTGCCCTTGTAAAAAGATGAAATCCGGGTAGAAATTAGGGGGGGACGATGACTACCCATGTGACTACCAATCTCATCTGTTCACCAAATTCAGTCTATAAAAGTTCTAATCTTTCCTAAATCTAACTACAGAAAATAATGCCTATGGTAGTTATTGGTTAAAATGCGTTTTAAAACTTCGATTTAACTATTTACACGCGACCAAGTGAGCTTCGTTGAGTCAAATTAAGGATCCACATTATTGACAAATCATTAAAAATCAGGTCTTTCCTGCAGTAAATAATCTTCAGAATTATGCAAAATCTCTCCCCAGAAACACGGGAAATCGCCATTGAGGGACCCCAGATTTCAAAATTTTCCCGGAGGAGAATGCCCCCGGACCCCCCTGGGCAAAATTTTCCCGGAGGAGAATGCCCCCGGACCCGCCTTCGGCGTTCGATATATGCCCTCCCAAAAATTATAGTCTGACTACGCCACTGCATTCACGGGTCACAAAAATACCCTTTCCCACCCGGCTCATTAATATCGCTCTCTGATTCTGAATAAAAATCGCAGTTTATAATTGGGAACCGTGAGAATTTGTATATAGATGCCATTACGCCAATGCAAAATGGGTTACACACTTTAATACACTTGATCCAATTTTGATTGGGACTATGGTCTACATTTCGTAGACCATAGCCCCGTATAAAATGGGCCAAGTATAAAATTGGCCAAGTATAAAATGGGCTGTGATAGTTATATCATAGAATAGGAAGGTATACCAGAAGTCTCACTCAAGCAAGTATTTGTCCGCGTTTTTACAAGCGATTCGTCCGATCATCAATCACGCCATCCTGGCTAGTACAACCGGCACTTTGTACCTATCAAAACCTGATAAAAACTTCCGGCTGTACTAGCCAGGATGGCGTGAGCGAAATTTTTGTGGGTTACACTTCTGCTATACTTTCCTATTTTGTGGTTATATGTTGTATATTCAAATACATTCTTCAACCGGAATATAACCATACGTGGTTATTATTGTATTAACGCTATAGTAAAAATTTAAAAAAATATCGTGCACGCGGCAAGATTCGATAAAAAAATATCGTGCGGAGTCGGTGAGGTCCAAAAAAAAATCGAGCACTCTCAAAAATGCGCCCCCCCCCCCCATGAAAAATCAAATGGTCCGTCCCTTAGTTGTTGAAGAAAATTGCAAAATTATGAATATTTTTATAGGACAGTGGAATCAGAAGTAAAGGGAAACCTCCATTCGTGACGTCATATCCTCGCGATCCCAGGAACTTGGAATTACAAAGGAAAAGTATTAGTGCTCATACTGGTTTCAGTTGCTTAGGTGAGTATAGCCAACTATATATACACATGTGTTTATACCTCAAGCGTAGAGATATGTGTTTATACCTCAAGCGCATACATGGCATTGTACATTGTACCCACATGTGTTTATACCTCAAGCGCATACATGGCATTGTACCTTGTGGATAGAATTCTACCATATTAATTTAGCATGAGTGTGTCTCAAAAAGATCGAGAAAATGTCCACCTTAATTCGTACGTACTCGGTGAGAAGGTTAAGCCCAATAGCTCTTTGCTCGAAACGTCGAATTGTTTTTAATCCTTTCAGGTACTGTAGTTCAGATACAAACCATGGCAGCTGACTAGACATAATTTCCGTCAGACGTTTTCACTCCTTATTTATAGGCAACGCAGATTATCTGATGCGGGATGTTCGGCCTGAACAGTTAAATACCACAAATCCCCTATTAACTCCCCTTGCAAAATATGCCACTCCCTACTACCCCTCGCCCCCCCCCCCTCACCTTCCAAACGAAAAACATTAAGTAACGCCCTCACAATAAAGAATCACATGTGTACATATTAGTTAGATTTATTAATTGGAATTTCACGTTGATGCATGACAGTAAAATTAACCACCCTCTCTATTAACCCCTCCCTATTAACCCCTCCCCCTTTCCAATAATCTCCATCCAAAAAAAAAGTAGGAAGTAACAGGCCTTGAGCTTCGGGAAGGGAGATAAAGGCGTAATAGAACTTTACAGTTGTTTCAACTAGAAATGTACGTAGCTTGGTACAGGTGATGCACCAGGATCAATATTAATATGTGCTACATTCTTCAGACAATGTTGTTGTGCTTCCATATTACTCTGTTTGCATTAAAATTTGGCATATATATGCATTAGCAATTCAAGTCACACAGACTGTTCTCATTTTCAGATCGTAATGGAACGAAAGTAAAGGAAGAGAGGCCAAAATATTTTCTAACCTCTACAAAACAGCAACCGAAATGGGATCACAATTTGATCTTAACAAAACAGGTAATTCCAAATCTAATAATTTATTATAGTCTAGAATTATAGTCCTGTGTAAACTGGGGTCACCCGTCACCGTCAGTTTTCGTGCCGTCGTGTGGTTCCAAATTCGCCTATATAGCACTGTGTAAAAATAGTCTCAAACCACAAAATCTTTCACTCAGATCAGGTAGAATATATATATATATATATATATATATATATATATATATATATATATATATATATATATATATATATATATATATATATATATATATATATATATATATATATATATATATATATATATATATATATATATATATATATATACACTGTTAATTTCGAGGAGTCAAATTGACTCCAAAAGTGGAGTAAATAAAAAAGGTACAGAACGACTCCTTTTTTGGAGTAAATTTTACTCCCTTATTTACTCCATTTTTGGAGCAAATTTTACTCCATAAGTAGAGTTGTTTTTACTCCTCAAAGAGTAAAAACAACTCTACTTAAGGAGTAAAATTTACACCAAAAATGGAGTAAATAAAGGAGTAAAATTTACTCCAAAAACGGAGTCGTTCTGTACCTTTTTTATTTACTCCACTTTTGGGGTCAATTCGACTCCTTTGGAGACAAAATGACTTCTATATATCGCAGTAAAGAAGTCTTCAACTAACTTTAGAAATCAATAAAGACATTTTTCGAGTCAAAATAATTTATTATCCCTACAAGTAAGGTATATTATAGCAGGAAATACAATTTGCTGTAGCATAATATAATGAAATACTCTTATGCCCTATAATATTTTAATGAAGTTCTAAATTGATTAGAATGATATCATGAATACATGATTAGAATGATATCATGAATACATGTGCAATACAATTACAAGCCTGTCAGCATGAATTGAACCTGCAGCCCTGCAATTCTACCGCAGCCCTCTGACCTAAAGAGCCCTTTTGCCAAGAGGTAACCACAAGTTGTTGTATGTATACCATGGTGGTGTCATTGGTAGTGTATTAAATAAACTGCAGGCCCAGGATGACACTAGTATTATATACATGAACTCTTGGTTACAGTAGAGCTTGATCGACTGTCAGGGCGATGGACTCTTAGGGCTTCAGGACCTTTGACGGTTAAAAAGCTGATCAGAATCACCTGTAGGGCAGCAGGTTCCATTCCCAGCACAGTACCGGCTATTACATAGTTATCGTTCAAAAAATTTACATTTACAGAAAAGCTTAACCCATTAAGTGGCAGCACTCTCTCCTTAATGAGCAAAAATTGTCTGACCACATTTGACAGAAAAAATAAAAAAGTAAAGCAAATTGCCACTTACTGTCGTTCCAATTGAAGTGTTGCTCAAATATTGATTCAATACATTACCTCGGGCTGACCAATTCATTTGATCAAGTTCCTCGAGATATTCATACACTTCCTGTGAAAGAGCTAATTCCAAGTATTTGATCATTTCTAGTCACTTCCTTTCTATTTATGATTGGTTAGTTGCACAAACAACAAAGGTGATTGGTGCATTCAAACTATTCAACAGGAAGTTTACAATTATACTAGGAAGTGTATGAATATCTCGAGGAACTTGATGAAATGAATTGGTCAGCCCGAGGTAATGTATTGAATCAATATTTTAGCAACACTTCAATTGGAACGACAGTAAAGGGTTAATATTCTGTTCAATGTAGAATCTTTACAAGTAAAATATACTGCATGTATTAAATGTATGTAGTATGTAGTGTCACTTCTCAATCAAACATGTCAAGCAAGTCCATTAGTAAAAATTTAGTACAAAACAAGCTGTATACCACAAGTCGGCAACTCCATCCCTTGCATGGTTTGGTAATTCACAAAAATGCTCTCCAGCAAAAGAATAACATTTTCCAAATAGACCATGAAGTTCTTAGAATGCCATTAATGATTACATATAATACCACTTGTTTTGACAACTTGGCTTCTCCTGGGAAGCTTTTGTTAAATCCATATATTAATGAGAATCCCTAGTAAGAAAAAAATATATAAGGTTGATATATAACAGCAGCAAATTATTGATTGATGTTTGTGATGTTACTCTGAGTGTGCATCCACACCGGCCAAGCTGAAAAGTTAGTTTGGGCATGGTGGGAATCGAACCTGCGGCCTTTGGGATACTAGTCCAATGCTCTGCCAACTGAGCTACATGGTCAAGTCTGTTTGAGTTGATGATATTTTGGAACTGAGTCTAGTTCCTTCGATATCAGTGTACAGGGGTATTCAATGATACGATTATTTTGTGTGTGTTGGTGTCATGTACTCAGGTGAATATATGATGTTTGTGATGTTACTCTCACCAGTAGCGTAGCCAGCCCGACTATTTGGTCCCGCTATGCAAATATTTTCATGTTCATTGACTGTGAAAACAATAAATTTCTAGAGAAATAAATAAATATGATAATAATTTTGAATTTGCATAGCGGGACTAAATTGTCGGGCTGGCTACGCCACTGACTCTCACTGAGTGTGCATCCACACTGGGCAAGCTGAAAAGTTAGCTTGGCCACAGTGGGAATCGAACCTGTGACCGTGGCCAAGCTAACTTTTCAGCTTGCCCGGTGTGGATGCACACTCACAGTAACATCACAAACATCATATATTCACCTGAGTACATAACACCAACACACACAAAATAAAAATTATTGATTGATTGACAATGAATTTGCTATTTTTGGTTGTTTGCATACATACAAAGCAAGAAATACAAAATCCAAATGCTTTTACTCATTTAATGTAAGCATGCAATTGAACTAACATCATCCAAATGAATACAACTTTTCTGGTAAAGGGTGTTTAAAATAGAAGTGCATAATTGACCCAAAATTCATTGTCCCAAAATCTTGCTAATGCCAAGCTAGGATTTTCCATATAAATTATATACAATCACCCACGATTTGGCACGGTATTACCCCTGGGCCCAGCTGGGTAAAAAGATCTCTGTGATTGTTTTTTGTCAGTTTATACATTTCGAGACTGTCTGCAAAAGTATGAGTGATTGATCACTTGTTGGTTCACTTTATTGGGAAATGTGCTTGTACTATATAACTCAGTCTGGGTGATTTGTTTTGGCAAGCCTGCCCATCTAAAGAGGCTCATGTAACCAGACATTCATCCAGGGAAAGCGAGCTATAGCCAGGTTACCTGGGTGGCTCGCCTCTATATAAGCAGCCCCTTACACATGTTTTAGGCTGACTGATAGCCGATAGGAGGGCTACCATACAAGCCATACACTGGGTAATATTAGATGGGCTATTGCAATGCTGTCAAATGTGACTGCATTTCAAACAGATCACATATATATTAATTAAAGTATACATATTTAACACGAAATACAACATACATGTATATCACGCAAATAAAGCCCCGTTTACACGAGCAAATTTTATTTGACAAATTTCATATGTCAGAGATATTTTGCTCGTGTAGATGATAAATTTGTGACAAATTTATTTGAACAAATGCTTTTGATGAAATGAAATTTGTCAAATAAAATTTGCTCGTGTAAACGGGGCTAACAACACAAATAAGTAGAGACTGTAGATTAGACTTATGGACTTCTGCTAATACAAATTAATCGAAAATTAAAACTGAACGTCTAGATCGGCAAACCGGCGGCGAAGCGACTAAAATACAGGCCTTCGTCTTCGATTTAAAAATATAACTATACAGTATATCAAGTAACTTTCCGCACACAAGTAAGTAAATACACAATAAACATACCTTTGAAAACAAATTCCATGTATCTTATTAGGTCTTTGCAACTTTATAAGTAGAAAATTTGAATAAATATCATTCACATTTGAATGTTTGCTCCCGAAGGATTGAACTTGGCGCTTGGTCTTTGTGTGAACCAGATCAAATTACTACAACACGTGATATATTCTAAACATGCTAATTGGTTGAAAATCTGGAACTTCCACTTGTCGCAAATTATATTCAGCAGAATTCAGCAGCAGAACATTCCACACGCTCCAATTACAGATTTAGGCAGCAAATAAAAAAATATAGATGACTCGCTGACAATTTCTGGCTACATTCGATCGCCGCGTGCGACGGAAGCCGATATACAGTATAATACATCAATGGCATCAATCTGACTTAGCAACATTCGAGTAACCAAAAACGGAAAATTATAAAAAAAGACTTTATATCTCGAACTTCGTGCTTTTCGCATCTGACTGTATTCAATACTTTAATAGAGTATAGCCTCCAGCAGAAAAACTCTTGGATTCTCAGGCACATTAATTATATATTGTAATAATTTACTCCAGATCCAGAACAATTTTACTCTTTTTTTGGAGTTGAAACGACCCCTGGAGTAAAATTAAGGAGTACAAATTACTCCATAATTTCTACTCCTAAACGCGAGTTTAGTTTACTCCTCCAGCGGAGTTAAATTGACTCCTGATGGAGTAAACTGTAGAATGCGCGCCGAAGTGGAGTAGTTTTAACTCTATTTTGGGAGTAGATTTTACTCCACAATTTTTACTCTCCCGAGTTGAGTAGTTTTAACTCCTATGGTGGAGTTAAAATAACTCCTTGAAATTAACAGTGTATATATATATATACTATATATATATATATATATATATATATATATATATATATATATATATATATATATATATATATATATATATATATATATATATATATATATATATATATATATATATACCGGGTGTCCCAAAAAAAAGTACTCCGGTTTGATTCGTAATAACTTCTAAAAGGAAGGTCTAACTTAGATTTTGGTATTACAGTTGTATTTCACTTAAAAATTCACGGAGATATTAATGTTTAAAATCGGGAGCATATTTTTGGATGTGTCTGAAATATGCAAAAAACGGCGTATCAAATATTAATCAAAATTTGCCCAATTGAAACATGCACTTTTACCATTAAATGAATGACACTTGACAAATTGTATATTTTGAAACAAAGTATTATTAACTACAAAATACAAGCAAGATTTATTCGTCCGA